TATATATATATATATATATATAGTAAATAAGCGAAATAATAATAGTAACTTCCCTACAACAGTTAAAGTAGTCATATATCCTTTTGCCTTTAACATAACCTGTGCGGTAACCTGTAACTCCCCTAAGACAACATGACATAAAATATATTAGGATTTTTTTTTTAGGTTAATTTAGACTGTAAGGATAAATTGATAAAAAAATTTAATGCTTATTCGTTGTTCATCGCCCATCGCACAGCCTTCACGAACGTTTACCCTGTGACTCGGTAGATCATGGCTGAAGGTTATAATCATTTGACGTAATCATTGAATTTTATCTCCTGTGAAAGACAAGGATTAGTTTTGTTACATTAGCTTTCTTCCCTTGTCAATATAGGCTCAACTTCCATCTAGTTTTGTAGTTCTTCCGATAGAGCTAATTTTCCAACTAGTGTTGAATTACTAAACCTCCCGCGTTCGGTTCACCTTAAGTTCTAACACCCCAGTTTATTGCATCTGAAGATTAGCTATTCTAACGTTATCTGGGGGAGGTTAGAATAGGTTAGGTTAGCGTTAAGTCAAGTTAGGACGAGTTAGGTTAGATTAAGGTTAAATTAGATTAGGTTACATTACGGTTAAATTAGATTAGGTTAGATTAGCGTTAGGTTAAATTCGGTAAGGTTGGGATTGTATTAGCTTAAGTTAGCTTCAAGGTTGTTAATTTTCAGGTGAAATAAACTGAGGTATCAAATCTGCAGGTGATCTGATGATTATTAATATTTGTATACATCAAGAATGTTTTCATCGCGGTCCTCTCATACCGTCCACGACAGAGCGTCATGACTAAACACACGATCTTGAGATGAAGTTAGCTGAAGAGAATAAAGATGGGCGTTAACCAGAGTGAGGCATGACAGTAAGTGTAGCCCACCAGCTGACGTGATGGTCAACACTGCGGCGATCCACATCCTGAGTGAATGTTAGTCCTGTCAACAACTTACAACCAGTCGTCGAGGTGATTTAACCGAGTAAATATTAACACTTGACCCCTAAGGGCGTCCACTGAATAAGCGAAGCACAAGTAGGTATGTACCTCCAAGGAAGTGAAGTATGTATCCGCTGAAAAGTGAAGTATGCATCCCCTGGTACGTGAAGTATGTATCCCCTAGAAACTGGAGGATGTATCACTAAGAATTGGATGATGTATCACTAGGAACTGTATACGGCTATATTTCTCTTCCACAACAACGCTTGATTAAGTTTAACCTTGTCACCTCACACACGTCAGCATTAACCCACCAACTGCGAATTTACTCTAAAATCACAAAAGGCCAAGTTCCCGCCATCACGGATACTACAGGAAGATCTAAAAAAAGTTTCGAATGGTCTGAAAAATGGCAGATGAAATTCAATGTGGACAAATATAAAGTACTCAGTATAGGAGACGTAAACAGGGAAACCAGATACCAGATGAACAATGATGCCATTGTGGAATCCGACTGCGAGAGAGATTTAGGAGTAATGATAAGTAGGAATCTTAAGCCAAGTAAACAATGTGTTTTTGCTCGTCACAAGGCTAATAAAGTACTTGGGTTCATACAAAGGAGTGTTAGTTACAAGACTAGCGAGGTCATCCTAAAACTGTATCTTGCTCTTGTGAGACCACACCTGGATTACGCAGTTCAGTTCTGGTCACCGTATTACAGAATGGATATAGAATCCTTGGAAAGAATCCAGAGGAGAATGACAAGACTAATCCCAGGCGTTAGGAACCTTGAGTACAGAGACAGGTTAAAGCATCTTAATTTGCACTCCCTCGAGAGACGTAGAGCGAGGGGCGACCTGATAGAGGTGTATAAATGGAAGTCAGGGCTAAACAAAGGGGAAATTTCAAAGGTACTCAAACTATCCAACCAGGAGCGAACTCGTAACAATGGTTTTAAATTAGACAAATTTAGATTTAGACGCAAAATAAGTAAACACTGGTTTGGAAACAGTAGTGGATGAATGGAACAAGTTACCAAATATCATCATTAACTCGAATACGCTGGATAGCTTCAAACATAGGTTGGATGCTTATATGAGCAATAGGGGTTGGTTGTAAACGGGACTGTCCAGTATGGGCCAATAGGCCCGCTGCAGTTTCCTCCAGTCTTATGTTCTTATGTACTACCTGGATGACTATAACCCTTCACTTCTAGTATAACGACACTGCAGGTCCTATTAATTTAAAGCAAACGAATAAAAAAATGCATCTATAAAAACCAACACAGTGCTAAATAGCCATATCTGTTCAACTTACTGATCTAGGAAAGTAATCCAAAGGTGTAGTCCAGTAGTTGGGGTCGTACAAATTAACAGCTGTATTATTTCGGTTTGTTTACACATTTTGGAGCAGTTTGTAAATATTAACTCGCGGGGGAATATCACTTGCTGCTAAAACCTAAGTACGTGACGGGGAACTGTGAGTGTGTTATTAAACTTGTTATAATGGTAAATTGGTAATAGAATAACGAGTATTTGGACATGCGACGGTGATGGGTATTCATCTAAAAATTTTAAGAAATCGTCATAAGCAAATGATTAACGTATAACTCACCTGATGTGCGGCAAGGCTGAAAACCCTCAGGTACAAAATGGTTAAAGATTCAGTATTTACCTTAATCAACAGTAGAGGCTAAAGTGAGACCCACCACGTCTCCGCCTGCCTTGTGTCAGCTGAATCGAAGGCTGCGTCAATGAAATTTCCAACATGGCTAACGAGCATGACAGGTGAAGTGTCAGGCATCACACCACCTTCCTTCTACTTCTTGAGTGAAGGCGTCAGGAAGGCGTTTTGAACTGATCAGTCCAATTGTTGCAGTACAGAGTTCAAGGGTCGTCTGAGCTGCAAGAAAACCCTAACATGAGCCAAGATGGTTAGGTTAGGAATATTCATGTACTATATAGTGATTATGCCAGTTTCCTGGTTTACAGCATTATTGAAGAACCTGTTAGGCTAGTGAGGTTGATGTATAGCGTTTAATTTACGTCAATTTCTTGATTTGCAACATTAAAACACCTGATAATCAGATTCTGGTTAGGTTAGGATGCCGAATTGTTTATATCTCTTGCCCGCCTGAACCTGATTGACGTTACGAGAGGTTTCACAAAACCTTCCCTAAACATCCATCTATTATACGACTTACGTGTGTGTGATTTAGCACTTTATTTCCTACTTCCCCCTACGTGGGTGCATGTGGAGGCTAGTGTCTGGCCATAATAGCGATGCTGGTTCTTATCTTAAACCTTTTGTATTCTAAGGATGCCGAGAAAACTGTACGTTTGTTCTCTTTTGATGTCTTTATGATTTCGCAACTGGGGCGTTTAGGGAGTCAGGGAAAAAGGCCGGTTCAGCGGGGCGGGGTGGAGAGAGATTATTTATAGAAAAGTGGCAGTTTTCAGTTTCCTAGAGGTAAAAGAAGTTCTTAAAATATTCAGAAAGTGAATAAATATTTTGTCTAAAAAAAAACAAAAAAATCTAAGTATTATACACCAATTAAAGTGGGTAAATAAACTGTTGAATATCATCACTTCATCTTCCAAAAGAATAACAAAGGAACCTCATAATGGTGCTACAACACACTGGCCAGAGCTGACACATACCTAACTACATACACTGGGAATTTGGGAAGCAGTACAAACGATTGGACAGGTAAATAGATCTTACCTGTTAGTCGAGGAGCCGGTATGTGAAATAGTGAAGGTGATGACGGACCCAGGGTGTGGTGGACGGAAATAAAGTCCACAGGAAAAAAAGTCACATGACTTGTACACATTGACAACACAATATATATATATGATGGCATTGCACGTAGGTTAGGTTAGTTTTTTCTGTGCCTTTTTATCTGTGACTTTTTTTCTTGTGACTTTTTTCCTGGGTTTGGGTGTGTTGCGTGTGTACTGTGTTGTGGGGTCACCTGCCTCCAATGTACTGAGGTCAAATAAACTTCTAAAATGAAGAGTATACAGTGTATCAGCACATTGCACAAAATTCACAAGTTAATCAATACTTGAAAAGCTTTGGGGGACTTCAAAAAAAATTCCTTAATACTTTGTAGGGGCGAACAAGTACATAACTTGCATTTTGACCGTCTGTAATCCATTTACTTTTATTTCCTGTTAATATAAAACAGGAACGGTTTGTCTGGTAGATTATTAAGTAAATATTTGGAAATTACTATGCAAAATTGGTTTTATAGTTATTTCATCGTGTTTTGTGCGAATTTGACCTTCATTTCCGGCAGATATGACTCGTATTATATGGGCCCTGGATATGAGTAGTGTTGTTAGGGAAATAATATGACCCCCTTAATTAACGACAATGTTGGTTCAGCAAAGTGGGTAAGGTTTTGAGTAATTTCTGAGAACAGCATTACAACCAGAAGGAGCTCGATTTCGTTCATTATTTCCACAGATGTTCTTTGTCATTATAATTTGTATTTTAAGAGGCGATACATTTCATTTTAATTTAGTGTTTTTTCTCTATCGACGATCTTAACTCACCTGTAGTAGGCAGGGCATGAAGGATGATGGAAACTGCGGGGTAAAACAAGGTGAAAAACTTATCATATGATGCTAAAATGAAGCCTCGACATGATTTGTACCGCCCCAGCTAGAAAGTTAGGTAAGCTTAGGTGGGTTTCTTCGGTTGGTTGTCAGGTTCTATTATGTTTTAGTTAATATCGCCTCTTATAAAATACTTATTATAATGATAAGAATATGAGGAAAAATTAACGAAATCGAACAACCACTTCTTGTAGTAGTACAGTGTTTAGACATTACCTGGTTTTTTAGAGGGTGGGTAAAGAATGGAAAAGGTCAACCGCTATTCTTTTACTTTGATTTCACTTAAAAATTAAATTTCGGTCACAAAGTGGGCAGGACTTTATAAAGAATTCAATTTTTTCCTGAAATTACTGAATTTGATCATATGTTCCTGGCATTATGAGATACAACTGTGAGGATCTTATTGTTTTTATATGAACTGGTAGGTCAGTTATATACTGTTGGTTTAGGAGTTACTTTGTTGCAGCCTTTCATTTTCATGTTATGTGATCTTGGTTCCTGGCAGCTGCTGCTACTTGAATTGCTTTATTCTTGATGCTTGTAGAACTTATGAGTAGCTACACTGTTTTGTATGACATCACGTTTTCTTTGCCTATGTGTTTTTTCTGAAGAGAAGGGAACTCTTCCTTGAGGAGTGTAGTTGGTTATGGGTTAGGGGGCTTGTGTCAGTTGTGGAGAGGTAAGGAAGTACTATACTCTATTAACTAATCTAGCGATCAACTTTCTGGATTGGTTAATTAAATAGACAAGTCTATTTAACATCAGTCACACAAGTCAGGGGTCCAGAACCTGAATTTCATGGACTGTCACAACTTAACAAATTAAGTCAATTTACACAAGCTTGGCAAAGCAGGTGAGCCAGGCAGTCAGTGGTGAGAATGAGCTTCTTGAGAGTTAACCAGGACAGTGATCACAGAGAATGGTAAACTACACACATACTCAGTGACCTTCCCCAAGTTCAGTGCATGTACTCGTACATCCTCACTTTTTCCCAGGTCGTTGATTATGCAAACTAAACCTAGCTGGGGCCCATGATCCCCAGTGTTCCATCACCAAAACAAATAGAAATCTCATACTTTGTACAAAGTATTTGTGCAAAGCATCCTTCATCACCCAAAGCTGAAGACTTGTCTTTTTTGACTTCCAATGCTGAAACAAGTCCCTCTGAAAAGGCCATTCCTTTTTAAATCAGTCTTTAAATGGCCGATTCATTGTGAAATTTACAAATACTACGAGTGTCATTAGATCCTCGCCGAAGCTGCAAAATACCTTTGGCTACTACAGTATTTTCCTTCATTGTTATGAACAATTATCATCCAGACAAGAAAAAGTGGATCTTTCAAAGACTGTTCCAGAATCTGGTACAGTACTTAAAATTTACCATCATCTTATAAGACCCATTTCCTATGGGCAAAGTTGACCCCCCCCCCCTTCTTTCATATAGAATTATAAGAGGTCAAGTTTAAAACTTTAATAAGACCCAGGCAAAAGTGGAAAATCATCTGACAAACCACCTCCACTCTGTCAATACAATACAGGGATAGAAATGCCTCATATAATCACTTAGCTGTCATGTTAGAGTAGGTGCTGGACAAATCCATTGTTATTAGTCTTCTCCCGTACCACGATACAGTACTTGAAAACCAGTAAAGCCAGTAAAAAGGTAAAAGAATCCAATTTCCTAATTTATATACTTTGAATTTTGTAGTTTTTTATAATTATTTTTAAATATTATAGTAATGTAGTAGTTTTTTCTCACATACAATAGAAACCTTATTCAGTAATACAGTACTTAATAAATTTAAAATAACCATCTGAAAGTACTATATAACATTTACTTTTATCCTCTTCGCCGCTGATCGGCTTGTTAGCCGCTTGGGCGATCGGTCACGTCTCTGATTACTTTTCCTTTTCATTTATCTTTTTCACCAAAAGATCGGCTCACTAGCCGCCCGGGCGATCGGTCACGTCTCTGTCACGCACTATCAGTTATCATTTGATGGGTAACTCCAAGGTGTTATTTACGGTGCCTCCTGGATATCATAAGATTAACGGGACCAACACATAACTTCAGTCTAGTTCTGTTAGTCGGAGGAGAGTAAAACAAAGAAGTCATATGATGGTTTATTCGAGAAGATGGATGTAAGGACTGAGATGTGTACAAAGGATCACAATGTCTGGCTCAACATGGTAGTGTACAAAAATAAACACCTGCAAATACAAAGCCAAAGACGGCGCCTGCGCGGCCCACAGCGCATGCGGAAACCAACACACAATACCAATCATCACTGACGGAGGAACTATGGAGAATAGCTAACAAGGTTTGACAAGCTGATGACATTACACATGACGTCACAATTTTATCATGATTGTTGATGTGGTTGGCTGCAGAGGAATAACTAAAAGTTGACCTCAACACACTACATAGTAGCTTCTTACAGTCTCTCACCACGCAAGACAATTACCACTCACCTGGAGGTGTTAACATGTAAAAAAGAAATAAAAACTGGAACTACTTTAAGAGTGGCACTTACACAAGGCCCACTCAACACATACATTATGTTAAGTCCTCAATATATGGAGGCACTTTTTCACCAACGTAGCCACCTACTGCTGGCCCCGTGAGGGAGGAATCTGTTAGTGTTGGTAAGGATGAAGCAATAAATAATCGGATTTCATTAGTACAGTAAAATATTTCTTTTTTTACATACCTAAGGACAGCAAAGTGTTACCATGACTGACAGATGCAAATGATATTAAGTAATATCACATGAATATAAAATGAAAACATTCAGGTAGCAAGTTATAAACCCATCAAATAGTCAACAACAAACAGTTTATATAATATCTTCATATGATTTATTTTTTCTAGTCACATACATTAACAAAAATCACACCTTGAATGAATATAGGGTAATAATTTGGTAATAAACCAGTTTGGAATACTGTACTGTACTAAGAGACAATCATAAAATTTTAACCAATTCCAATCAAACATGAGGATAGCTACCAATATGAAAAATTTATATATATCTTACACAAGTGAACATAGTTATACAGTATTAACTATTGGATCCCATGAAGTGTATGTGTCATCAAGAAACTGATGGTAATGGACATTAATAATTACCAGAAGAGAGTTTACCAATACTGTGGTACAGTAAGTGCTGTGGCTCTGTACAAACTTTAGAATGATCAATCTAGTATCATCAAACATCACAGAGTACAGTATACATATTAGAACTTCATTAATGCAAAATTTTGTTTCCAGGTTACTGTGAGCATGATATCCACTAGGATCTATTCTTATAACAAAAAAATAGTGTTCAGTAGCTGATAATAAGCAGGTGATATTAAGAAGCTGAACTCAGGACTTTTTTTTTTTCATTCTAAAGTTGAATACTGTACGGGTTCTTATGATGGGCAAAATTCAATAAAGCGATGAAATACAAGAAACAGAGACACAAAGAGAGCAGCAAACTGCCTGCCAGGAGTAGTTGCCTAAGTTGAACAGATCCCCAATGCCTGTACAGTAATCCCCACCAACTGCAGGTTACCATCTGAGGTTTAGAATATTCCCTTTTTTTTGTTATGCATTATTTTAGCAAGTTTCTATGGCTACCAAAGGAATTTCTTGCCCAGTTCAACAGAACTGCAGGGTTCCCGTCATTAGCCTTAATGGTTGTGATTGAAATGCCTTGAGCCGTGTGCAAATGAGCTTACGGTTACCCCTGCCTTCACCATACTTGCTCATCCTTCACTCTTTTTCACAGCACTCACCCCAAGAATATCTCTGTGATGAACCTTTGAACAAACTTTTTTCCTTCAGAAATAAGACTTCAAAACAAAAATCTAGTGATGTGAGTGGTGCTACTCCAAAGATGCCCGAAAAGTAATGTCATTAAAATAAAGTAAAATTACATAATCAACTTGCATGTGGCAAGTGTAGCAACCTTCCTTTGTGTCTCCATTGCATATTGTGGCCTGTAGAGGTTGGGGAGGAATGCAGAATGAAGCAGCATTGCAGGGAAACACGATGTACTACACAAAAATTTTTATAGTTTCTGTATAATAAAAGAGTAAAAAAGGATGCAACTTGAACTCATACATACATACCTGTATACGAATTTAGGCATGTCTCGGGCATCATAGTGTAATCCCCACAGTTGTCAAGGAATCACTGTATACTATAGATGATGGTCACCTACATCAATGTACCACAGCAATGCAGGTTTAGATAGAAAACACTGCCTACAATACAAGCTCACACAGCAGATGAGTGAAAAAAGAAAAGACCTTAAAATATTTTGCACCTGAAGCACCAAAAATATATTTTGAGAAGTACACTCTTGTTATCACCAACTGAACCAGAAACTACATAGTGAATAAATCATTTGTGAAACTGAAATATATAAAATAAACAACCATTATTGGAAAGAGCAAAATATAGGAATGCAATGAACTTAAAAGTGAGGTGGTGTGAAGGACAGCCTCTAGCCACCTCTAGTTCAGTTAACCAGGACACCTTCACTACACTCGCCTTATGATCACTTCACCTGTCACTTGTAAAGGTCACGTCACTCATGAAGGTCACAAGTTATCTCCCAAATCTTAACTTAGTCCATCTTACTTATCTTATCCACATAAATTAAATGCTGTAAACAAATCATCACTCTTATACATCACATCAAGGATTCAATCCTGATTTCAACTTCAACCGAGTCTCTACCATTCTTATTACTTAAAAAATTAAGCACTAGAAATAAACATTAGTGGATCTCATCCTTGAAAAACCTCAACTGATGAAATAATAGAGGAAGAAGATATACAAATGTGTCACCTACAGTATAACCAACAAGTTTAACCATTCACACAAAGGTTTTCATCTTCCAATAACAAAGTACTTGTGCGTTTACAGAGAAATATTAAAACAATGTCAGACTATACACAGCAGTCAACCTTCTTACATGAGTACATATGTCATGCATATACAAGTGTCTCGCCCATAACATAATATTTGGTGAATCGTGAACTCTGTCACAACATTCCTCCAAAACAAATACACTATCCATAGAAAGGCCATTCCTTAATGTATCAATATGTTTCATCATTCATAAGAACATGTTTCTTGTAAGCATAATTATAATCCATGAGTACAACCTCGATGGTACCTATCTTAATATTAGTACTGTATATACAAAACTTGTATGATGGCGTGCACGGTATTGTTACCTTTTGATCTGAACGATGCAAGGATACGCCTCCGTGAGGAATGAATATTGCAGGATACTCGAAGCACATAATACCATGGTCTCCTTACCCAGAATCAAGTACAGTACAGTTAATGCATTGTTTGTCAATAACAAGCAAAATAACTAACAGATTTATGTAACAAAAACAAAATAAATACAGTAATACTCCTCAGAAAAGAAATCTCTTTTGTGCATTCCAGGGTAAATATACTTGTGTAGTCAGTGGTTATAAACACACTCCAAGGATAGCCATGCATTAGGTTCAGTTTACAATTTTCATCACTGTGAAAAAAATTATTTCACAATATTATTACAAGACATGATTTGAGGAGACTTCAAATAAGTTATTCATTCATTCCATATGGCCTTAACTTGGTAAGACGCTAATAAAGACTTGTGCAATGAAGAAAGAAAATATGAAATGAGTTAGAATGGAAAGACGAAGAACATCATAGAAGTATTGTTCAAATTAATTAGTAACAGATGAGGCGATATAAAAAAATAAAAATAAAAACTTATGGTGGAATCATCATAAATATATGAGGTAGGTGGCAACAGGTGGTGAAAAGACTATAGCTGAGAATAACTGAAGCATCTGCATTATAGGTACAGTATATATCGTAGGTAAGAAGAGTTATGCAGTACAGTATTGTAATTGTCGTGTCAAAGGACGGCGAATGAGACTAGAAACCTGCTCAAAGCATAAAATCCTTTATATAGCCTAATAATATAATGGTCATCACACAACTACTGTACTGTATCTTAAACCTTCAAATACTGAAAATTAAAAAAATATTATTATTTTTTTCAATCAACCTTAGATTTTCCAGAACACTGTTTTCATTCACCTGAATTATATGGTGCCTCTCTTACTGTACAAACAAGGTCTATTTGAACTAAAATACTGTAGAGTTTTGAAGAGATTTCAATAACCATACAAAAATCTACAAATTAAAACAAGATCCGACTTGAATTTTAATTCTGAAAACTTATATTGTATCCCTTTCAACCATTTGAAGGTTAAAAATTTGAACAAGCACAAAGATGGCAAGTCAAGTACAAGGGTTGGGTTAGGAAATCTAAGAGCTCAAATACAGTTGCAAATATAAAAAAAGAAACAAAGTTCAGGTACACAGACAATTAAAAAAATTTTTTTTTTAAAGTTTGGGTTTTAAGAATTTAAAAGTTCAAGCCCAAAATAAAGTAATGGTGATTTGGAAGTTCAAATAAACACAATAGTTTAAGTAATTTGAAATTTCAAAAAGCAGAAACACTAAGCAATAGTTCTCCATGAATCAAGGTGTAAACATATTGTATAAACTCCAGAACATTACACCTTAAAAGTCAGTAGCTGGAACTTGGAGAGAACTAAGAAAAACTTGCAGGAAATGAATGATGAATTTCCAGTGCTCTAAGAAGCTGATGATAAGTTTCTATAACTTGAAGCTGAAAAGGAAGGAGTAAAGTGTTCATTCTAAGAAGCTATTTATAATTTTCCAATAAACTTTAACTCCATTTAGGTTTTCTTGTCTGAGATTTGATGATTATATAGAATGCTACAAGGCCCAAGCATAGTTGTTCTTATCCCATCCCATAAGAGTGATATTTAAATTTAGTTAGTTCAGAATAATATCTTCAATACTGAGGAACATTTTCTCCCACTTGTGAATTGTGAAATACCAACTGATACTCACTAATTAATAATTATATATCCTGTAACACAGCAACAGCTTTTCATATGACCACCTGCCTTATCACATTCGCTAATTCTTCACTGAAGGCGTACGTATACTTTTCTTCAAGCAGTGATTGTTGCTTAGTTTGCAAATGATCCTGGGGACGTGTTGAAACTTTGTGCGTCACATTATCTTGTACGAAAATTATTAAATGGTAATCAGTGACCCTTACTTGCAAATTAATATTAATAATAAATAATAACAAAAGTAAATGAAGCCATATTCCAAATTGTGTTCAGCCAGAGGAAAATAATATTCAGAGTGAATCCTTTTAGTAAAACCTTTGAAGACTTTTTAATTTGGTAAAATGGTTGAGCCATTCACCAAAATGAATAATGGATTATTGGTAGGCTTCCTCTGGCTCCACATTGAAGAAATGTGGCTGCGCTGGTCACTGAGACACACTTATAAATAACAAGTTCCTTGGGAGATCATAAGTTTCCATGCACTACAACCGACTTGCATTGGATCCATATATATATATATATATATACATTACTTTCAACCTAAATTTTTGCTAGTTTTTAATCTACTTTTAAGTATTCATCTCCAAAGAGATCAAAGTAGGTAATGGACTCAGCAATATGTGGAGTCCTCCACACTAGCCTTGATTCTGGCAAGTTGATTACTTGGGAATTTCATGACACTACACTGGTCTATACTGGAGACCTGACAGTGAGTATATCATGACACTGACCTTTCCTAAATCAGGAGACTAGAAAAAGTGAGTTTGTCATGACTACCCCAGTGTACATCAGGACCCTTCACAGTGAAGTCATGACACTACCCTGTCCTATATCATTTGGCCTAACCAAGTACGTCATGACACTTCCCAACAGCAGTGAATGTCATGACGTCACTATGACCTACACCAGGAGATCAAACTCAACAGAGGTTGATAGAGTGGCAATGTCGAGGTGTGGATATTATTGCTGGTGATATAGCGAAGCCCCGTCACCACATGCATTTTTTGCCACAGGAATGCAGGTGGTATAGATCCACAAGCTCAAATGAGCCATGTTTATTACCCTCCTACAACTGTTTACTTGGAGGTCACAAACAGGTAATAACGCATGCTGCTGCTGTCAAAAATGTTACCTTGAAGGCCACAGTTAACGTAACAGTCATGGCTGCAGAGTTGACTGTCACCACTGGAGGAGATGCAACAGCTTGTGCACACAGTGTTCTCTGGGATGCATATATAACTCCAGTAGAGACAGTGTGGACAAATGGACAAGATAATGTCAATGCAGAGATAGTTCCTAGAAGGCAGCGTGCCTCATATCCTGTTGAGGAGTGGGAGGTAGGTGAGGAGCCTCACCAAGAGCCTAAAAAGGCCATACCAGGCTCTCCGGGCAGCACTACTCTTGAGCATCACCAGCCGCCATGCCACCAGCACCACCAACACACGCCAAGCCTGTCGCACCCACCACATCCTGCACCAGGGAGATGAATGGGATAAGTAATGTTCATAAGCAACCCCATCCTGCACTGGGGAGATACTTGGGGTAGGTTATGCCTTATACTATACAATAAGTACTCTTGAACCAGATATCATACTGTATTATACAGTACCGTACAAGGTTAACTTACACTGCTTCATGTACACTGCCTGGGAGACATACAATTAGTTATATACAATGATGAACAAGTACAGTACCTGCCACACACATGCGGTGTAGTTATAATGTTGACTAAGTACCTGTCACACATCACTTAATGATGCCAAGGTACTTTATCCTCCATGTACTGTATGTTATTTAAGGCATCAACAGTACAATGCTGATAAAAAGACTTTACTGTTATTGAACTTATATTTAGATGAAGGCAACACCTAGAGATAAAAACTCTCAAAACCTTATCGAAATTACTGGATCTGTACTTAGATGTAAGTTTATACTATACAAACATTAATTTCCTAATGATTTAAAGTTTAAAAGTGAATGTGTTAGTACTCCAGGAAACCATGTTTAGTTGTGATTGATCTGTAAATCCTAAAAATATCCATCACCAAGTTATGAAGGATTAATACATGCATCTCACCAAACAGTTTGGAAAGAAAGTTTTTTTTCTTTACGCAAAATATTATTATTATTTTTTTGTTTACTTTATTTACAGACGAAATACAAATTTAAATCGGGAGAGAACCATTGTCTCTCTCTCACATACAGATGTATGGAATTACTATATCTACAGAGTACATTATGTACACATACAATTCGTATTTGAGTGTGTGGTAATCCCCCAGGGTTCTTGGTAGGGTGGGGGAGATTCCAGAGCACTAAACTACTGTACTATGAACAACACATTTTCATGGTATGCCTGAAAAGAATACATAACCACCATTACTACCATGCACACCTTGGCAACCACCACTATTCCCTCACCAATATCTACACGTATTACACAACCAACCCAAAATTTACCAAATGCACCATCACCAACTACCATTTACAGTATAAACAACCAAAATTTTGTATATTTGCTGTCAAGACAATCATCATTGCATCCCTGAAACATTTTTTTTATCTATATAATTACTGTACAATCATTGCACTAATGTTAGGAACAACCACCATTCCAATCTTTCACCATCTCAACTACCACCATCGACCCTAGTTACCTGTTTAGTGACACATTAACCAGTACCAACCACAATTACTGTTTGTTACAATCAATATCAAGGGATGCACAGTCACTAACCACCGTCATGATATGCACAATTTTGATATGCAAAATTGTTTTCTTTATCCCACATCATTGTCCTGGTAATTACTATCACCACCACCATGGTTCATTCATTACCACTATCACCACTACCACCACTACTAGCAGGAGGTCGAGCACTGTGGCAGGAAGACGACTCACTGTGTGGGCGATGACGCAGAAGAAGAATGTAGCGGCCAGGCCCAAAACACCTATCATTCTCAACATGAACTGCATCCAAAACATTCTGTAACGATGACCAAGTTCACACCACCACCTTGGTAATACAGTCCTCAAACGCGAACAAAATACAAAATTCCTCGGAGTTATTGTTGATGAGAAACTTAACTGGAGAAACCACATACAAACCATTCACAGTAAAATCAATAAACAGTGCGGTATCATGTATCACACTCGACAGTCACTCACTCTCACAGCAATGAAAGAAATCTATCATGATCTTGTTTACCAACACCTGATACACTGTCACACACTATGGGGGGCCTCTGGCTCCTCAAAAACACAATCTCTGGTTACTGCACAAAAGAGAGTTGTACGGACAATGACCTTGAAAAAAACAGATCACAAACGAAAAATTTGCTATATTGAAATTTTTTTAAATTCGAGGATATTAACACTTACTGCTGTGCCCCCTTTGTTTACAAATCTATCAATCACTTGCTTGACAATAATTACTTCGTTCCGGAATAATCAGAGATACAACTTAAGGCACCCAGAGCTACTAAGACCACCCCCCCCATGTGCTCCTCTCAGTCCCAGACCTCCATAAAATATCATGGTGTGAAGGTGTGGAACAACTTACCCCCACCCATCCGAGCAAAGACTATGCTCCCTTCCTTTAAATCATCTCTAAAAAAATATCTATTGTCGAAGTATTAATATTTCTTGTAACACTTACTATATTTACAGTACCTGCTTTTATTGTACCATCAAATACGTTTTATCGGAAATTATCATGTAAATAAATAAGTAATTACCATTGCAATAAACATAATTGCCAACTAGACATAATCCTGAAAGCTGTCCTCTTGTTCAACCTTATTACTGTACAACCCAGGTTGTACTGCTCCCCCATTATACTTATGTTTTTAAATTCCACTCTAATATATATATATATATATATATATATATATATATATATATATATATATATATATATATATATATATATATATATATATAGAATAAAATAAATAAATATTGAAGTGATAACCGTGGTAACACTATGAGATGTACTTATTACCACCATGATATTGTACTATTCCAGATGATACTAAATGTTACATAATACTTCTTTGAGATAAATGTATAGTATATATCAGGTGCCTCAGAGAGTGTTCAGGTTCTCAACTGGCTCAGCCATGTTAATATTGTTATTATTATCCACTCTGTATCTGTGTTTTCTGGCGGCTAAATAAAATGTTTCAATCAATCAATTAAACCTTTTCATTTGCCGGTCCCGTGTTGTCCAAGACCTAGACAACAGGTATCAGCGGGAGAAATGACAAGGGTCTGATTGGCTAATTCGGTAACCATGACAAATCGCAGTAAAAAAAAATCTGCACCAAAGTGAAAATTTATAAAAATCTTTGGTATGAACAATACATTTTGTTTCTACCGCATATTAATTTTTTTTACCAGTGCGTCATGGTGTTTTGACTGCAATTCCTCTCTCATTGTTAACAAATTCGCCAATCAGACACCCCATCATTCCATCCGTGCATACCTATTGTTTTATGTGTCTGACAAAGGGGCACCAGTTTACCTCTCATCATCCCCCACAGAACAGTATTTTGAACGGATCATATGAAGATCCTCCCCCCCAAACCTACTTGGGGGGGAGGATCTTCATATGATCAAGCCTGGATGGGAGGATCTGACCTGACCAATGACCAAACCTGACCTTACCTGACGTCACTATGACCACCTAACCTAACCTAACCTACACCAATATTTAGTGTAACAAGAAAGTAATCTGAATAATGTTTTATTATTTAATCCTTATGTTGTTTATTTATATTATATGTTGGGGGGATCTTCATATGAGCGCGACTGGGGGGGGGGTGGATCTTCATATGAGCGCGACTGGGGGGAGGATCTTCAGTTGGATACTTTGGGGGGGAAAATCTTCATATGATCCTTTTGAACTACCATCTTAATTTAACCACATCAGTAAAAATCAAATCTTTACTTCATTAACAGCAATGTTTTCACCGACTCTTTATATGTTTCGGTCTAAGCCTGTTTGTACAACGTGACTCACATCAGTAAAAATCAAATCTTTACTTCATTAACAGCAATGTTTTCACCGACTCTTTATATGTTTCGGTCTAAGCCTGTTTGTACAACGTGACTCACATCAGTAAAAATCAAATCTTTACTTCATTAACAGCAATGTTTTCACCGACTCTTTATATGTTTCGGTCTAAGCCTGTTTGTACAACGTGACTTTCAGCTGTTATATCATTGCAGTCTGCTACAACACACTGCCCGCTCACTAGTCTTTTGTGTTAAGACTTGGTGTTGAGCCACTTGTCAATATCATTCAGCTGTTCCCCCGTGGGCTTGGTGGCCCCTGAGGCAATCTCCTGGTACACAGATGGTAGGTAACAAACACACACACCTACACACCTACTTCAAGGGAAAAAAGGAAGACAACGAAAAATACATAAAACACGAAGTCTTCCCAGCACAGAGCAAATATTTAATTCCTAAACAAGACTCTGACACAGTGATGGAGGGAGTGAGGCTCATACCACGGTCACAAAATATCTTAAAACTTACTACTGTACTACAATACTACCACTACTACTACGACTTAACACCCGATCCGTTTCAAATATGACAAAAAAATCAAAATGGTTGCAAACGTGGAAAAAAATAATGTATAGAAACAGCAAAAACATGAAGTAAATTATTAAGAAAACATTATTACCACCAAGAGTGACACACATCACCCCCGCCCTCACAATAAGTCGTCACGATAAGCCATCTGTTGTTTACTGGTACCCAGTTTTGTTGACTGACACACACACACACACAGTCTACCAAGGGAAAGTTTGCGCCTCCAACACTTCAGATTTTATACATCCTGTCCTTCGATTTTTTTCTCCTTTTTTCATGACTGGTTCTCGGTGGCGCCACTAGTAGGCAAGTTTGGCAACAACAAATATGATATACTTTTTCCCGTGGTGATGAACTACTGAACAAACTGGAGGTAATCTGTGAATGGATTCCAAGAGTAATGAAAAAAACGAAATGTGGTCGATTGGTGAATTCTCAAAAAGTTCCCGAGGCGGATTGATTATTCCGAAGGCCGCCATTGGTAAGGTGTTCCAACGCGTGCGAGATTGTTGCTCATCAAATGGTACCACGTCTAGGGGTGCCCGACACGCCCACACCCACAATCAAGTGTTCTTAGTGGCCTTGAGTCGCTATTCGGAAACCATCTAAACGAATCGGAGGAGAGACAGGCACGGTTGACTACGTATATATCCAAGTCTAAAGATAGATAAACAAGTTTCCATTATTGTCTCTGGCGAAATAGACAAGACAACTTGGAGGGAGAGAGGGAAGTTCATTTGCACAGAGCGCCCGTGAAGATATGCCTCGTCATTGTTGCAAGGTTAAACCCCCCCAACCTCCAAAACTGCACCAACAGTGGCAGTATCCAAGTGTTACCAACCAGGAACTACACACAACTATTTTC